GGCATAATTACAAGCGGAGAACGGATTAACTTAACGTCACAGCAGGAATAACAACAGCCGGTGTTTCTCGTGAGTGTTTTCCCCGGGAAACAAACACAATACACACAAACGCAAAAATACACAAACACACACACGTATACACACACACACACAAACACACACACACACACACACACACACACACACACACACACACACACACACACACACACACACACACACACACACACACACACACACACACACACACACACACACACACACACACACACACACACACACAGAGAGAATGGAAACTGCATCTGAGAAGAGCCTGGAGCCTCAATGGACAGACAAGAAGGAAATTAAGGAAACACACATTCCCCCAAAATTCATAATTCTGTCTGCATAATGGTTTTTGCATTTCCTCTTAGTTAAGCGTTCACTAACATTCAATAAATACTCTGTGTGAGTTACAGTTTCAAAGGAAGTGGTACAATCTCAAGGTTAGTTGGAGGTTAGAGTTAATTAAGGTGTAAGAGAAGAGACAAGGGATGAAGCCTAGATATTCTTAGCTTACCTATGTAGGGGATGGAGGCCAGGGAGTCGTCCTCTATAGGGAGTGGGGCAAGGTTGCCATTTGGTTTCCGAGGGGCTACATCTCCCGAGGAACTAGTGGCAGGATCCTGGGCATCGGGAGAAAACAAAGAGGGTTCTAGCCCGTCTATGGGCAGGGCGTAGTGAGGGTGACGCATGCCATGGGCGTTCCTCCGCCCAGTAGGAGGTTTCTGCCTCAGCACCACTTCCTGGGTCTGTGCCACCTCTGCCTCCACGGACCCTCGTTCCCTCTCGTGGTTTGTCGGCCTGTACGCTTGGTCCTGGGATTCGGGAGTGGCAGAGGCAAGTGGAGACGCAGCAGAAGAAGTGAGGGGTGCTGTGGTGCCCTCTGGGGGGCTCGTTTTTGGCGTTGGGTTCCAATTCATGTGAGGGCCAGAGTACGAAGGGTCCCTGAAAGAGTGGGCTTGCTGCATGATGCGACCCGTCTTCCGGTAAAAAGAGGGGCTGTAGCTGCGGTAGCCCACCGGCTGGTCGTCCATGCTCTGCCCAGAGGGGAGCCGCCTGCTCTGGGGAGCAGGCTGCTGGGGCTGAGGCTGGGGCTGAGGCTGGGGCTGAGGCTGGGGCTGAGGCTGGGAGTGGGCCTGGCTGTGAGTCTGGGGGTGGTGTTTAGAATGTGACTGCCGGGGCATTGGAGGAGCTTGAGCTGCACCGTAATGGTTCCCCTGCCTTGTGTAGGCGTCAGTCCTGGGGGGCGGCGGGGGAGCCTGCTGAACCCAGGACGGCCTCTCAAACCGAGGCGAGACCAGTGCAGGTGCTGCTCGGTCCAGCATCTCTAACGAGTGGCCATGGCGATCGTACTGGGCCAGCAGGTTTTCAGAGCGGGTTCGGGTATAGTTAGTGGTAGGGTGGCCGGGACCTGGGCCCCCCTCCCAGTCTGCATAGGACCAGTAGGGCTCCCCATGGGGCCCGGGTCCTGACTGCTGCAGTAACATCAGAGTGTCTTGAGAGGCGCTGTGCGGCCAGCCGCCCGTCCGCTGCTGCTGCCTCCGGGAGTCGCTGAGCCGGTCCTGAGAGTAGCTGCGGTGGCGGGTCTGCATGCTGCGTCCCGGGCGCTCAGGCACCTGGTTGTAGTACCAGTCAGAGAGCGCCTGCTGCCGGCGCCCCGTGCGGCCATGGCTGACCTGGGGCAGGGGGGGGCTTGTCCAGGCTGAGCTGGACTTGCGCGGCGGTGCCTGAGAGGAGCTGGCAACGTGGTGGTTCGGGTAGTGGACCTGCAGCGGGCTGGACAAAGGACCTCCTGATGAGGAAGAGGAAGAGTAGGAGCGTCCCCTGGTCTGGCCCTGAGGCTGCTGGCTGGTCATACCGTACTGGATCTCCTCTGTGCGGTGGGCCGGGCTGCTGTGCCCCACGCCGCCGGGCTCACCTGCGCGCCCTTCCTGCCAGCTGGCGGGGCTGCCCACAGCGGAACGGTTGTCCAGGGGGGAAGAGGGGCTTGAAGATCCTGGCCAGCGACTCCAGTTATCCAGCTGGTTCTGGCCCATAGAGCCAGACAGAGGACTTCCAGCAGGGGGTGTGGCCTTGGTGTGTGGGTAACAGAGGGGGGGTGGTGGTGGCAGGTACTCAGCTCCCCCTGAGTAGGGTTCGTTGCCTGTCAGGTAGGCATCCTGGGAGTAAGCCTGGGAGAGGGAAGACAGAAGAGAGTGATTTAATATATGACAGGACAAAAGCTTAAAGGAAAGGTGGGTGTGTGATGCCGTGGCGACTTTAAATCATGTGCTCTTACGGTAAACAAGCATGACGACAACACACACCATAACCATAACTCTGTAAGACATCTTCATGCTGCTGTACATTACACAACAAGCCTTACAGTGGAACAGCCTCTCAGCTCAACCCCCTTTGTCACAATTTGTCCCCAGGGCCTCAGCCACACAAACACATGCTAGCTAGCAAACTGCATGAACTGCCTTGAGCAGAAGCCACAACACTCACTCAAACAGCAGCCATCTGCAAATGTCCCCGGCACTGTTGTGTATACATGCATACCGGATATATATCCACACTGCGTAGCTTTATGACTATCCATTTGAAATAACTACTGGTGGTTTCCTAGATACTCAAAACCTAACCAAAAATACTATTTCAGTTTTATCAGCCCTGCTTCAAAACTTTGGAGCAGATTTCCAAAAGCTTTAGTTGCCATGTCATTTAAAAACATCCAGCACTACATCTTACAATGTACATGTGTTACATGAAGTCCCACATTACATTTTTAAATAACCAGTTATACCTTTAAATGAATAACAATAAACAATTTAAAGCACCATTAAATTGGCTGGCCTTCTCTGCAAAGCTGATCACATATATTTTGGCTCAATTTCTTTCAGATTTCAATGTTGTAAAGCACCTGGAGCTTTAACAATTAAAGTTTAATATTATTATTAACATGAGAAGAACAAAAATATACTTGCAAACTATTATTTTTCCATTCTCGGGGTAAACAAATATAGTAGTTCGAAAATCTTTTAAAGTTTTACCTACACCGGCCAACAGAATCCGGAGTCTTTCCTCAGGTTGCGTGTAAAGCTTGTGGTCGCCACAAACAGAAGACTGATCTTTACCAACTTCCTGCTCCTGAACCTGCTGTTCTTCTTCCAGAAATATTCAATGTTTAGTTATATTTGTATTCCTTTTTTCCGATAGTTTTCTATCTGTTGTTCCTTGTTTTCTCCTGTGTCGGATACTTCCAAACACCCTCTCTCCTCCCTCTCATTCCCTGCCTTACTCCACCCTGTGGGAGTGTGGAAGGAGGCGCAGCTCTGGTGATGTCATGCTAGGAATGCAGCAGATACAGGCGTAGCAGCGAGGGGAGGAGTGTGAGGACAGAGTGGGTTTATAATGTTAAGACATGGCAGTTATAAGTAAATGGAGAACTGAGTGTTTGACTCTTTTGGCCAGGTGTTTCTGCATGTGAGAGAAAGGATCACTAAAATCCGGTGAAATCGGGTTTTGAATGTTGACATGTTGCTCCAGGTTAAGGGGAGGGGTGATGCATGTCTGATCATGTGAGCGACAAAAATGTGTTGTACAGTACATGGGTGTGTGAAAGAGCACGGAGCTGCGTTGTTTTGTTTTTCTCACATGCTTTGACAGTCGGGATACCAGTGGCTTTTAATGAATGCGTGTTGTAATCTAAACACAGAGCAAGAGTCTGAGTCACTCCGCAGCCATTCTGACAAAATCTCAACATTCTTCTACAATGACTGTGAGAATCCAGGTTGAACAAACACCATAGAGTATTCCTGAAGTGTATGAAATATCAAATACAAAATTATATTTTTCTTGATGAGTCAGGTGAATAAGTTATTAATTGTGCAGTTCATCAAACGTGTGTGTGGGTTAGTTTGTTTAGAGAAGGTGCGTGAAAAATCCCATACTCACACTTACCAACTGAAGCACATCTTCATCTTTTGGCATAATGGAGAGCTCCAACACACTTTCACTGTCAAACGTGTACAGGGAGGAAGAAGAGGGGAGGGCCGGAATAATTAAGACGATTTAGAATGATGAGAAAAACAGATTCACATTAAATATCCTGACTTGGTTCTTGATACAAAGTTGAAGACAAAGAAAAAAACGTATCAGCATATTTTCGAATGAATCCTCTCTGCCCGACCTATTTATAGAAAGGTTTAACTCGGCTCAAAATATCAACAGAATCAGTCCTGTAGAAGTGCTAATCAGCTGGGTATTCACAGATTCAATAATTGGGCATATAAAACGGATCGGCGTCATCATCGCTTAAATCGTCAATGTCTTCATATAATGCAGTGTTTCCTCTATCGTTTACATTTTGGTACGACAGAATTCCCATACGTCACCTTACAGATCAATGCTCCCTTATGATATCCATGCTGTTAGCTATGTGTGTTACTACACAGTCATTACTATACATCAACATATATATACATCAAAATAAATACAATATACTAAATTGTTACATAGGTGCACTTCTATAGCATGCTGAATTTAGTTTTTTAATAAATATTCATAATATTTAAGGATTTATAAAAATAGTTTAATCAAATATGTTGTGGTGCGATGCCGTAAGGTACAGCAATTTAATTTAATTGAAATCAAATAAGAGATAAATATCACTACTGTTCCAACAGAGTACAGTGTCCCTTTTATAAATCTTTGAGACTGTGTATATCATTGTGAGAGTGTAAAGTACACTGCTTCAGGCTACTGTTCTTTTTAAAGCAGAGAAAAGTAGTACTAGCAACTATGCGTTTGTCATCTCGAGGTTAAGCTTGCAAAGAAAAAGCAAACATGTTTTTTCTAGATTAACACACCAAATCTATGTGCTGAGAGGCAGGAGGTCTCACCTGTTCTGAATGAGGGCTATGACCTGCGAGTACGTCTTTCCCAGAACACTCTCTCCGTTCACTTTCACCAGCCGGTCACCTGCAAGACAGATGATCACATATCATACAATTATATTCAGCACATTTTAAGAAGGGACTAAGGCTATCACAACTCTAAAATCAGGCGTGGTAAAGGGTATATTTCAAATCAATACAAAATCTAAATTTTCTTTATTTAAAATGATGGCCAAGGTGTGTCTAACTTAAGCAAAACATGAATCCTTGTATTTAGACTACGCATTCGTCCTGCAGGAGATATGACACTGACACATGATTTCAACCATAATGCAATCTATGAGTCCTGATGTCATGTTGAAAGCACTTCTGGGCTTTCTAGTGATCCTACACACATGGGGGTGTTAGCACATCTTCTATCTGAAGGGGAATCGCAGTAGACATGTTTTTTGGAAGTGAGGGAGTTAAGTGTTTACATTTGTACAGATGTTTGCATCTGTTCTTGTTAAAAATGATTGAGGGAGGCTCAAACACCCGCCAGTGAGGAGACAAGGAGGAAACATGTACAGGGGGGGCTAGCAGTAGAGCAGGTTTTACACTTCCTCAATATTCATTGAATTAATAATTAAAGAAGATCATTTACTATTTTAAGATGACCACATAGTGTCTTGTAATGTTATTTTTGTGGGAAAGCTTTTCAAAGACATGTGGTGAGAATATATTAGATGTATAACATTATTAATCACATCACAGGGCGGGAAAGAAATATACATACATTCTAAAACCCATCTTTTTACCTCAGCCTAGGCCAATTCAAAGTTAGCGTTACAGTTTTCATTATTACAATAAAAAACAAGGATTATTGTAATATTGGAAGTGTCTTTTAGTGAACTTCTAAACATTTATGAAATCAAGATATCTATCAAGTCATCAGTAGTTTGTCCCCAGATATGCGGTCAGTATGAATCGGTCGGCAGAGCTGTGGTATCTAAAACACAAAATGGCGCGATGTCAGCACAGCTCAGTGTGTCCTAAACTGAGGCCCTTGAAAAAGACATTTGATAACTTTGTGTTCAAAGTCTGTGTGCATTCATGTTGACTTTCATGCAAGCTGAAACACATACAATGGCTCAGAGTGTATGAGTTTGCATGTGACTTTCTGGATGTGACACCTTGTGTTAAAGCATGCACACTGGAACACTTCAATAGCCCTGTCACATCCAAATGGACTTGAACATTTGAGTTGTCATACTGGTATCTGAAATATATCAGCCAAAGACATAATGTCTCTAGTCAGGGAAAAATACATTCTTTGTATGATCTAGTACTAAAGAGAAAAGGTTGTTTTTTATTCTTTGCTTCCTCCCTCCTTCTCTGAAACTGCCCATGTCAGCAGCATCACATGACCCACGCTCTCCCCAAAAGATTTCCAATGCAAATCAGGATGGTTCCTGCATCATATGTTCCCTTTACCTGTGCACAAGCCCGCCAGGTGGGCCGGTCCTTTTTCTCTCACACTCTTCACAAATATGGTGTCCATCGGCTCCAGGCGACCTTTCTGGTACCCTGCATGACAATATCAATACAATGAAGAAGAGGTAAAAAGATCATAGCTTGTGCTGAAATTGTAGAAATGTGTGTGAGATTTTTAGAAATAAAGCCGAAGGTTGGTCCTGGTATTTAAAGCTTGGACCTTTTTGATAAAAATGTGGAGTATTTGTGTTAATGACGTTCTTGGCCAGGCCTATAATTGTTCTTATATGAGTGTTTAAGTGCTTTGCATTTGGCTGCTTTAGATGCAGTGCTGCAAAATGTCCTGTAGGGGACGCAAATAGGCTGCAGACCGCAGAGGTGACAGGAGGGAATAAGTGAAATCCCAGTTTCTTACATTATCTTTATCCCACTGTGCAAGATTATAATATTTTCCTGATGAAAAAGAGAAGCACTTACCCTTTCCGTTACCGTTCTCTTCATCCTGCAAAGAACGGAAACAGACAACATTACTCCTCAAATTCTAAGTTAAATGTATTTTTTTTTAGCACTTTGTAAAATAACAAATTAAGACCAAAGTGCTGAAGAGAGTAATTTCTAATACAATGAAATCATTCTTAAAAAGATGAGATTCATGGAAGTGCTTGTGCTCCAGATTTAAACAGTGAACTTCTTAAGATTGTGACCTTCACATAACCACATTCATTCAGTTTCCCATTCAAACCTGTGTATTTAGCAGTTTATGCAGTATGTCCAATGGGTGACTTAAAGTAGTGAACACTTCATTCATATCATCACCTCCCTAAAGTTTGGGCTAAAAGGAAGTGAGTATTAATCCGCCTCCACAAATAGGAATGACTTCCCGGGTCTCGAGCCAAATCTCCCGAGACAGACAGACAGACCTGTTTGTTTTATGAGCTTTTAATGTTAGAGAGACTTTCAGGTTAGACCGTCTGCAGGTGCTTGTGACGTTATGTTTCACACTCTGAAGCAACAGAGCTATCAGCAGTGAGGATGCTGGTGGGTGAGGTCTGATAGCTGCAGTTTGTCTGATCACACACACACACACACACACACACACACACACACACACACACACACACACACACACACACACACACACACACACACACACACACACACACACTGAGCTGAGTGGACAGTTTTGGGTTAGGGGCAGGGTGGACTGACTGGTGCCTGGCTTTATGCTACGCTGAGTGGGCTCATTCCTGGCTCTGCAGACAATGGTGGGGGGTTTAGAGGCAGAGAAAGGAGAGCTGCTGACCCCAGAATGGAGCTTCTAGCCGGGGATACTCCACAACTGGAGCGGCCCCGGTCTGAATGCATTCAGGACAGAGGAGGAATGGTGCGAGTTGGGCACAAGACTCTGGGCATCTGGGTCAAATACTTCACACTGTCAGTCCACACCTGTACAGTCTAAAGCAGGAAGGGGATATTCCCATATTTAGATTTTAGACCAGAACTGTAACCATGACACCATATAATATTATTGTGCTGTTGTGATTCGTCTTTTCTATCTGTGTTGTTTGTGTCACTCGTCTTGTTGGTGTATTGCCATGGCCGGTTGTGTTTGTTTTCCTGGCTTTAATCAGCTTTGGCTTTATACAGGAGTACACTACATTGGCTTACACATAAACAGATAAATAATAAGTAGAGCATGTTAGATTGGATTATTAGGTCAGAAGGTCCTCTAGTTGTTTTAAAGACAGAAATGAATCCTGCTGGGACCACACAGGAGGAGATAATATAATTAAGACTTTCAGGACCTGCAGACACCATGAAAGGAAATAAATGCCCCATTAGGTCATGCACCTGGTAGACCTCTAATAATTAGACACTATGAGGGTCATTTGGGAGACTTCCACTGTCGTTCTTCGGATAAGAACGGATGGATCTATGGGTCTGATTGTCCCAAAACGCCATGTGACATTTGAGGCAGAGGAGACGAGGACAGAACCGGGGCCAAAGGCCGGCAGTGGGCCTATTGTGTGGCGCCGGCCTGGTACGGCCTGACTGTCAGGGAGTGGTACAAGGCTAAGACAACAGATCCCATTCAATCGGTGCTCCTATCTGCAGCTGCTGGATGGTGGGGTGGTAGAATAATAATAGAGGCCTTGTTTCAGCTGGCTCACCCCACCCCAGCCTCCTCCTTATCCCTCAATTTCACATCTGGAGCCGTTTGCCCCCACACCTCAAAGAGCTAAATAACTACTCACTCACATAGAGGCTCATTACAAAACACCAGAACAATCCTGAATTCACCAAATACTTAAAACAAGGCCTGTGAAGTGATAGTGAAAAACAATTAGTAGTTTCATTCTCTTTGGCATGCTATGAGGGTGCTTTTTATATCCTTAAAATGTCAAATTACACCGGTCTCACCAATTAACAGACCATGGCTTTATTTTTTCTCCACACCATGTACCTCCAACCTTTAATAGGCTTTTATAGTGATTAGTTTGTTCAATATGTTGTCACCAATCAGCCAGTAATCTCCTTTTGTATAAGAGTTTATTCTGCTCGGCTCAACCTCACTGATCCTTGACTTTGATTGGCTTTATCTCCAAGCTCAATTTGGCTCTATCGCTGCTTCAGCAATTTAAACACAAGGCTCTCAAAAAAACCTTTAAATGCCAGCTAGGATAAAATGGAGACCATGTGTGCTGTAAAAACAAACACGGAGGTTAAAAAGAGAACTTCAGGACACTTAAACTAAATTGAATGACAGGGAAACAGTAGGCCGGTCCATAAGACTGTTTATACTCAACATAATCCAAGACCTTGATACTCTAATCTTTCTGCAGGTCTCACCTTGAGGTTGGTGTGCAGGGCGGACTCTGGAGGGTAAACGATGAAGTGGCGTAGCGTGAAGCCGAAACCCTGTGAGTTCTTATGGAGGACCAGCGTCCGGGGACCCTTCCAGCCCACGCCGACCCCCTCCCTTCCCGGCCTGGTAACCATCGGCGGCCGAGGGTTGTCACCGGCTGAGAGACCATCCCTCCGTCCCTTACCCTGTGAGCACAGACAGAGAGAGATTCAGGTTTAGATGAAAAGTTGTAAAATAGTTTATTCAAAGCAAGGAATATATGACGTTATAGAAGGTTAAAATAAGAGTACTGCCGATAATACATTGAGAAAATATGGAAAATAATAAAGAAGTAAGGAACTTGGAGAGCTCAGAAATCGAAGGTCAATGCACAACATTGCAAATGAATGTGATAAAGGGCCTGTGTATATGGCCCGTGATGTAGATACATTTAGAGTTCTTCCTTATATCAAGTTTCAGGAAAGACGTCGTCCAGTGTTTTTTTTTGCTGCAGACAAACAGACAAGCATACCATACCGTAACCATGCTGACAAACACAAAGTATTCACATGTGATTTCTTTATTATAAACTATAAAGATAAAAGATATCAGTTTTTCTTTAAATCAACATGAGAATCTACTGTATGTTCCCATAATGAACACACTGGAGAAGTACTTTTCCAGATGCAACACACTTTATGACTCCCTGGTGAGGCAACACTAGGCAAACAGTGGGTTTTACATTAGCAGCTTCCTCATGGAGTCCTGCATCTTCCTCAGAACAAAAGTCCATATACCTGGGGGGTCCGCTCTAAAGGAGGGCCACGTCTAGACAGCACAAGGAGGGAACCCCAGTTCTGACCTTGGTCTTATCACAGGGAGAGAAGGTCCAGGGGGTATTTGAACCTGCTCTCTAAATATCTCATTCCTGAGGCCGAGTAAATAAGCCCTGCTCGTTCAGCTGACAGACACACGTGAGAACTATCACCCCCATGCTGCTCTGACGACCCACATCTGTCAGTCAAACACAATCACCTGACCAAACAGGTGGGAGTGAGGAGGGGGAGCAGGTCTAGTTATCTTGTACTCCATGTTCACTGCCAAAATCTTTGATCATATATCATTATTCATTTAGGAGGCAGCTCATAATCCTCCATGTCTCATCCCAAACCATCAATCAACCAACCTCTGCGCCGTGCTAACGCCTCAGTGTGCCCTTGTGTTGTAAAAAGAGATGCATCTAAATTTCATACAAGCAACGTATTATTGCAACTGGGTCTTCAGAATTGTTTTAATGCATTCACACTGAAACATTTACAAAATCAGCATGTTAAAACCAGAACTAAGAAAGCTTCAGCAAGTGCTCAAACTTTTAACAGTATATTATTGTATTAATTTATTTTATAAGCCAATTATCGATTGACAGAATATGAATCCACAACAATTTCATACATTAATCATATAAGAAAAGTGCAAAAATAATAACCCCTCTTAGTCTAATATAGTAAACTGAATAGATTTGGGTTTTGGACTATCGATAGGTCGACTTGGGCACATGCTGCACAGAGGAATGGTAAATAATCCAAGACTGCAATAACAGCTTTATTTGAACTTCCTTTATTGTCCATTAGTACAAACTTTATATTGTAAATCCAGGGCTTACACAGCTTTTTTTCAAACAAACCAATGGCTGCACTCGTCTCTGCTCCTGTTTCTGTTTTGGTGAAACTCGCGAACTGCTCACAAGGAAATGGTTTAAATGGAGTCATACTTGATTTGACTTATCCTAGAAATACTATGATAATGATGAATATGATGATGGATTAAAACATTGCTCTGATTAGAAGCTACATCTGAATTTATAGAAGCTACAAAACACCAGCTGGGTCTAGGTGCACCTCAGTTTGCATGTTTTATTGTTACAAGACAGCGTAATTTAGCTGAAAATAAAACAGAACGCTGCAGGGTTGTTATTTCAAAAGCAAATGAGGTGCAGGAGATAGGTGTGGACATGCCCATAGATGATACAAAGGTCTGGTTCATGTGTTGCACTAAAAAGTCACACCTTAACTTTTAGTTCTCTAAATTCAGGTTCAATTGTGAGAATGTGTGTGTTTGTGTGTTTTAATGTTAGTGCGCCAGAGGTGTCTAGACTACAGGCAGCAACCCCCTCGAAATGCGCACCCCACATTTCACTTCCTGTCCCCCTTCCACACACAATCACACACTGATATATAACAAACACAGACACACAGACTTGACCTGACAGGCCTGTAGTGAGGCCACACAACAACAGGAAGTGGCAGGCTGTAGGCAGGAAGTGTGGTAGTGTTGTGGGGGCGGGATAACCAGATGCTGCTATAAATAAAACTGCTCTGGGATCTCATGGATCATGGAGGCACTTCCACTCCTTCACTCCTCTCCTTCCATCAGCTCTCCTTCCTTCCACCTCCTCTTCCTCTCTCACCACATGCTTTCGTGTGATGGAAATCCGGCTGTGCTGACCTTCACCACAACTTATTTTTCCTCCTCTACTTCAGACTTTCCATCCAATAACAAAATAAGTTCTGACTTTGAGATTTCCTAATGAAACATGTTTGCATTAAAGAGAGAGTATGTCTTTTCTTTGTATATATCAGCTATTTTCCGTGGCAAACACTGAAGTATGTATGAAGTGTATATTTTGCAGATGCATAAATCCCTGTGGGAAAGGCCTGATCTGCAGTCTGGCAGCCCAAACAATGTAAAGTAACCCCTGCTATTTTCTCAAACAAGCGAGCATTCAGGCCTTTTATGTGGCATGAGAGCACCATACAGAGGTGCGTGAGGAAGGAGGAATACTTGAGGCGCCAAATAAGAATGATACAGAAAAAGAAAAGGCGCAGAGTAAATAAAAAAAAATAGGAAATAAAAGAGCAAAGGAGGAAGAGACCGAGTGAATTCCTCAGAGGGAGCGGTTTGGCTTGGACAAGTCGGAGCACACACTGTAAGCGGCGG